AGTGATCAAAGCCGTGCACCATTTTTGGTTTCTCCGCCCGACAGCGTGAATGCACACACATACGTGCAAATTAAGCTCAGACGTTAGACGAAAGGTCAAATATGAGAACGCTTGCTCTCCTCTCTCTCTATTTGTTTCTAGCCCAGTCAGCAGATAGAAAACACCAGACGTGGCTCCTCAGACATTTGGCTGCTGGGTTGAAAGGTCTGGAGGGAGAAGAGAATATCACACGGGTCTTGATTAAATGTGAACAACATTTGGAAAGAGGCACCAAAGGTCATCGTTCATTCATCTCTGAAATGAGAGGATATTTTACAATCCACTGCCTAGTGACAAGCCAGATAAACAAGTGAACCCAAAACGTTCCTCTGCTGGTGCTTCAAACCTTTTTGCAACATGTTAGTGCACTATAATCTGGATCTTAATGCAGTGGATGCAGACACTGCCAATCTTGCTTTGTTGAAAGGTCAAATACTATGGTGAGATCACATCAAGAATGAAAGGGTCAGAGCGGCATTCCTTCCGGTGCACTCAGTGTCCGAATTCACTACTCGTTTTCATTCACTCCTTCTAGTGAACTGAATTAGTGACCTAATGTAGGGAATAGTGAATGAGGGTATAGGGGGCGATTTCGGACACAGCCTTGGCGTAGCGGTTTGTGCGGTCCAACACTGAGGCTCAAATAAGGTCAGCATGGCCTAATAAGGTCAGGTTTATATTTGGAGGTCATGCAGGTAAGCAAGCACAATAATTAACCACATCAAAGCAAGTGTCTCTCACAGGTTCTGTAGTTGAGCTTTAGGAAGGGTGGCAGCTATGATGTGTCCAGCTACAGTAAAACCAGCAGTGGAAGCAGTTCTGAAACAGGCAGCTGTATAGTACATTAAATATTTATCTAATTGGTCCCATAAGACTCACAAACATATTGAAAGCATCTCTGCTGATATGTCACTGACTCCCAAATATCATACTCGTGATTAAAGACAATTACATTGTTTTAATGTGGCTTAATTGGGAGATTAAATATTTCTGTTGTTTTAGGCACAAGCAAAGCTTATGACTGAGAAAGAAAGAATGAATAGGAAAGAAATCGGAAAGGAGAAAAAGTATTTGTATAGTGTAGCAAGTTCTGAGAGACAACCACTAAAAATAATAGCGGTATCCCTTTCATTTGTGGTGCATTACCGTTTCTCGAAGTAATGTAGTAGCCCTGCGGCAATCAAAATGCAATTAATATTCACCCAAGATAATAGTGGAGAAAGATGCATAAAAAAATAACAATGCATCTTTGTCATGACCGACGCTTCTAATGCTATGCTAATTCCGAAATCCTCTTCTGTTATCAGCAACAATTAGCATAATAATTCCATCACAATAAATCAGCCTTACATCTTTGAAGGAAAGTCAATCAGGGACTCAGATGTGGTTCTCAGGGGGTGAAACACCTGTTAGACCACAAACATACTCTACACGAGTTCACAAATGCTTGGCCAATGCATTGCAAGACTGCAAACACATTACTTTACAAGCATTCTTGCATCAATGCGGCAGTAAAAAAAACAACAACAAAAAACTTATTAATAACAGCAGTCAAGCTAATATCCAATATAGTGACCCCTGCGACAGAGCTAAGAATGCAGCGTGCAATGAGTAAGGATTTAAAACATTGTAGAATATAATGACAAACTGTGCTGTTGTATCGAGAAGCAGGGTCCCAAACTTTTTGATTGATGATTTAACATGATTTGATCATGAGATTTCCAGTTGTTCATGATTCCTGAATGAGGAGTTTTATAAATCATTGCTTCAGAACAATTTGCCAAAGAAGTGATTCCAACGATACTATTCTTCTGTCGTTATTATTATAATTATGTCATGACAACTCTCGGAGAGTTTAGTCTTGGCTGTGTTTGGTCTTGGTGGAATAGATCTGCTAGACTTGCTTCTGCCAATACATCCACAGACATGCTGCTGCGAGCATGTAGGAAATACTGCTGCTGCTGCACATATAACATATGAAATAACCCCCATATATAACAGACATGAAATCACCCCGTAGTAGAGATGTATACAGGTGGAGCTGGGGAAGGTGGAGGGTTTCTGAAGCGTGCTGCACCCGCTACAGCAAGCACAAAAAAAACAACAACAAAAAACTTATTAATAACAGCAGTCAAGCTAATATCCAATATAGTGACCCCTGCGACAGAGCTAAGAATGCAGCGTGCAATGAGTAAGGATTTAAAACATTGTAGAATATAATGACAAACTGTGCTGTTGTATCGAGAAGCAGGGTCCCAAACTTTTTGATTGATGATTTAACATGATTTGATCATGAGATTTCCAGTTGTTCATGATTCCTGAATGAGGAGTTTTATAAATCATTGCTTCAGAACAATTTGCCAAAGAAGTGATTCCAACGATACTATTCTTCTGTCGTTATTATTATAATTATGTCATGACAACTCTCGGAGAGTTTAGTCTTGGCTGTGTTTGGTCTTGGTGGAATAGATCTGCTAGACTTGCTTCTGCCAATACATCCACAGACATGCTGCTGCGAGCATGTAGGAAATACTGCTGCTGCTGCACATATAACATATGAAATAACCCCCATATATAACAGACATGAAATCACCCCGTAGTAGAGATGTATACAGGTGGAGCTGGGGAAGGTGGAGGGTTTCTGAAGCGTGCTGCACCTGCTACAGCAAGCACTAGCCGAGTATTTGAATGTTGAGCAGCAAGCTCATTGGCTGCTGACTCGAAAATGAACCAATCAGCTGCACCATGTGAATAATTGTGTCATTATGTCAGACTGAGGTAGAACCTATCGGCCTGCGCTATCTAGAGATTCATGACAGAACTTTGGATTTGTAGTGTGGACTTTCCTATTCTCATAGAATTTTAATGCTTATTAAAACTTTATATTTACAATTGGAGCAAACTAGATTTTTTCTTTACATTAATTCATTCAGCAAATTAGCTGTTATCCAAAGCAACTCAAAAATCAAATTAAAAAGATTAATTTGTGCAGCAACTCAAAACACCATGATTGTTTAGAAGTACAGAGCAGAATATGCATTTTTACATATTTAAAAATGCACATTTCCAGGTTTAACATGATATTGCAGAAGCATCCGCATTCATGTACTTGAATACAGTATGTTTCTGGCCTTTGGAACAAAAACTCTCCCTTTTTATACTGACAAAGATCAGCATACAGTCCACTCGACTCCCCGCTAAACCACAGAGTGAAAAACTGCATATCTTATAAGGCCATTGTGGCTCACTGCAGCAGTCTGTGCATTTGAGGGGAGTGAAAAATGCAGATAGGGTGGATTCATAGAAAGCAGCACCACACGAGAGCATTGCATGACTGAGTCTGTCCACGTATGAAGATTCCCCTGGAGCGGCCCACTCCTGATCAAAGGCAAGGTTAGTATGAAACGAGGTCATGGGTTAAAAAATCACCTATATTAGAAGCTCAACACCCGAGCTATAGATAAAAGCACATCACACATCCACACCTTCAATCTCTAAATAACAGCAACTGCTGTAAAATAAAAAAATAAATAGGGACAGGGCTTTTTTGGGGGGATCACCACTTCAACACTTCACTTTAAAACGACAGAACAGTCAGCCTTCTCATGAACCCTTTGGAGAGAATTGGAGGGGAGGTGCTCACATCCATCATACACTGGAGCACTTCTCATCTTTGCATGGCTAAGAGTTCATTTTAAACAAACCGGGCAAATTCCTGGCATCTCTTTCGTAATCTCTTTCCCCCCGACAGCCCACCCTAGTGGGGCCCAGCAGGCAGCTTTGGGTAGGGCAGGTCATCTTTTCTGGCAGGCTCTCAGAGGCTGGAGTGGGCAGAGCAGGGAACGGACCCTCTTACTTTGACAGTGAGAGCCGAGCGGAGCTCAGGGGCCACGGCCAGAGAGTCTCTCCTTTTCATTTACTAATTAAGCATGCAAATGAAATCTTAACAGTCTGCTCAGACGTGCTCCTCGAGGGAGGCTGCTTTGGCATTGGCTCTTGATTATTCCTGATCTTTTAGGAGCGGGAGCGAAAGAAAAATAAGTGTAAGCCAGAAGGAACTGAAAAAAAAAAAATTTGATTGTCTGATGAAAGAAGAAAAAAAGAAAAAGGAACAGATAAAAAAGAAAAAGAAAAATGCATGACTAGTGATCAGCATTTTATTTTATTTTATTTTATTTCATCTTATTTTATTGTCATTATTTATTTTTCTAGCTTAAACAGCAAGACATCTTTGGTTAACCAGCAATTAAATGGATAGTTCTCCCAACAATGAAAATTCTGTCATCATACAATTTACAAATTGTTCTGAACACGTCTGACTCTTTCTTTCACATAAAACAAAACATTCATAGACTCTTTTCATGCTCTTTTCCATGAAACCATTAAATTGACATTAAAAACATCCTCTAATTTTCTCCTTTGGTGTTCCACAAAAGAAAGAAACAACATGAGGGTGAGTAAATGAGTAAACTGGGTGAACTACTCCTTTCAAACTGGTCTAAGTTTGTTCTTTCAGCAGGGTTCAAGAGGACTGGCATTGAGCGAGAGAGAAGACAAAACTAGGTAAACATTCTCATAATGTATTGGCAAGGTTCTCTCAAAGATATGAACAAACGTTCTTCCAGTAACATAAATGGAATGCTCGTTCAAAGTTATCTGTTTCTTAAAACGTTAGCACAAAAAAAGTCATTTATGCATCTTTCATGGAATGTTTTTTCAGAAACTTTTTTTTGTTGGACATTCGTGTAACATTTTTCAAATATGCTTGTTTGTGAATGTTCAGAGAACATCTAATATTAACATTCCCATAATGTTTGCAAAATGATAAAATGGAATGTTTCCTTAACAGTAACAAAACCAAGAAACCTAATGGCAACATTAGCAAAACATACAGCATATTTTTGTTGGCTGGGTAATTGGTATAAGTATAGCTACTGTATATTCTGAATCAAAGGCCTCACCTTTAGCAGGTCCTGTGTGTCGTCCATACAGTAGACGCGGATGTTGTACTCCAGTGTAGAGCAGTAGGCGGGAGCAAACAGCAGCAGTTTTAAGCGTTTAGAAGCAGCCATGCTGAGGGACTCCCCGACCAGAGCAAAGCGGCCCAGCTGCTCAGTGAAGACCCGGCACGTCTCCGCCTCCAGCTGGCAGTAGTACGGCTCCGATACCACTTCCTCACCAAGCTGAAGTACATCCTGAGGTGCCAATGAGACAATGACACAGGGATCAGAGGGGAAGGCAGAGAGCGGCTGTGTCAGTGGAGTTATTGGAGAGATGGTCAGCTCTTGCCCTGAGGATGTTCCGTGTCAGATTTTAGATACAGTGAAGCGATCTGGCTGAGAAGAAACTGAAAGATCTGCATAATGAGCTGTGTTCTGTGCTCTAATGAGACACTAATAGCAGGAGTTCATCCTGATCAGGGCTTTCTGTTCTTCTGCTTACAAGCAGGGAATAAATCTTCTGAAATTTCTACAGCTCAGATTTACTTCTTATGTGAAAATACCAAAAGTTAAATACAGGAATAGGAGCAATTAAAATTAATATAAATTAATAAAAAATACAATTGAATGAATGAATGAATACTTTTCATGCATTTAATTAATTTTTTTGTGGATTGTAAAGGGTATTTCTGCATTTTCTAAATAAAATTTGTGTAGCTGCCAGTTGAAAAAGTCTCTGCCACAAAGCTAGGTGTTTCTATGTATTTTTAGGTGACTTTACTGGCTCAGGTCTCTGTGATATTCTGATCCCTAGATATGTCTTAGGTTGCTGCTTCAATGTACAATATTATTCAAAAGTCTGGGGATTTATTAAATGTTTTTGAGTCTTTTATGCTCACCAAGGTTGCATTTATTTGATCAAAAATGCAACAAAAAAATACAATATTGTGAAATATTATTATAATTTAAAATAACTGTTATACATAATATATAAATAAATAAATATAAATATATGAAGAGTTTGGTTCCAAAATGCTATAAATCCAGAAAGTGGCAAGATGAAAACCACTTGGGATGTTGATCAGTAGGTTACTGGCTTGGGATGAGCGTCATCACACGTCTCAACCAATGAGAGCATATGGTGTGGACCTAAGACTGCAGCAGCAGAGCTCACATGAAGCGCTCACAACTTAGTGAAGACAGCAGAGAAGCGCTCTCGCTCAGCATAGTGGAGTGCATCGTTTTGTGGTTTATTATTTTGAGTCGTTTGGGACGCGGTAACACACGGCTCTCTCACAACATATTGCTTTACAGATCTATCGCTTTTGCCACTCAGAAATGTTGACGCAATCATGATGTACGTATCAGAAGTTCTGCGCTTCGACACTACATGCGCACCGCGCCCGAGACCAACTGAACCGCGCTCTGGCCCACCTCTTCCAACCGAGCCAGGGCCGGCTAAATGAACCCCGCCCGCACACGCACTCGCCCATCATGTGTTGTCCCGCGCCGCACTTTGTTGCGTTGGGTCCCGCGAAAGTGCAGGTCTCTACTCGGAAGGTGCCTGTTATAATGTTATGATCGAGGCTCTGCACTCTTGAGTCTGAGCATAACTTGTTTTTCTATAACAAACACTAATCTTATTAATAGCTTACGTTTCTTCCCCACCGCAGAAACCAGAAAAAAGTCATCAATGCCGTCAAAATTATTCATTTTTTAGGGCTACACGATAAATCTCTTTATAAACAGACCTTAAAAACTCTAGACTAAAAGCCTAACCAATATCACCACTGTAGGGTTTTGGAGAAATAAAATTTTTTGAGCTTTGATAATTTTAGACTTTTCTCAAATTTGTGTATGGTATATAAAATTTTAAATGGTTTAGCCCCTTCTGTACTTCGTTCATGCGCATCTCGTCAGTAAAGCCGGTTCTGCGATTAGTAAATCTCCATCACGTGCTTTCAGATGGAGTGGCATTTAATACACAGAGTCGTAGATCACTGACAAGCTACGCAATATCGCATTCATACTTGAAGGCGATTCATCTGCGATTATGAACACGATATTGTGTAGCTTGTCAGTTACAGTTTACAATGCATGGAATGGTGCGCTGTGATTGGTTGAGCGGATGTATTGCATTCTGCAGAGAAGGGAGACTGGCGTTTGTCGTGGTTTGGAAAGATAGGGAGAAAACATGACAGAATAACATGGTGGATATCGCATTTTGCGTAAAATTAAAAAATGTACTTTTCTATACTGACCAGATAGGCTGCAATACAGATTTTGGGGGGGAACTCAATTAAAAAAAAAAAAAAAAGGCATTTATCGCATTTTGGAACCAAACTCTTCATATATATATATATATATATAAAATGTAATTTGTAATAAAGTAAATGTAATTTATTTCTGTGATGGCAAAGCTGAATTTCCAGCATCATTACTCCAGTCTTCGGTGCCACATGATCCTTCAGAAATCGTTCTAACATGCTGATTTGGTGATCAAGAAACATATCTTCTTATTAAGGATTGTTTGATTAACAGAAGGTTCAAAAGAACAGAACATTTTTATAACATTATAAATGTATTTACTGTCACGTTTGATCAATTTAATGCATCTTTGCTGAATAATGTCTTAATCAACTAAAAAATGATACATAAATAATTTCTTCAAAAAAAAAGATAACGTCTCGGTTACGTATGGTAACCCTCGTTCCCTGAAGGAGGGAACGGAGACGTCACGTCGGATGACCGACGAAATTGGGATCTCGCTTAGAGAGACCAATCTACTTCGAGTGTAAACTAAACGAGCCAATGCACATTGGGAAAAAGCTCTTTTAGTGTGCTGAGGCGCACAGGGGAGATGATCATCTGCAACACAAACAGGGGGTAGTGCAGCCTGGTGTGTGCAACCCACTCGACACGGGAAACCACCACCGCTGAAGTGCCGTACCGCCAACACGAAGAGCTCTCCAAGAGCGTGCTGAACTCGTTCAGTCTTCTTGTCTCAGTAGAGTAGTCAGGAGCAGAACGATGTGATCGCTCGGCTCCTCAGCGAAAAGCTGAATATGCGCTGCATCTGCTGCCTACTTATACTCACGCTGTGATCAGCGGCAGCTGGATGCAATAATCGCATGCCAATGTGCATTGGCTCGTTTAGTTTACACTCGAAGTAGATTGGTCTCTCTAAGCGAGATCCCAATTTCGTTGGTCATCCGACGTGACGTCGAGAGTGACCGACTGAAAGGGAACTAAATAATAAATCAATCAATCATGACCCCAACTGATCCTAATTTTAATTTAACTTTCTCCTCAAAAATCTGTATTATTTAAAGTATTGTTCATGTTCAGTATGGGATAAGTTTCATACTTAAGTTTGGGGGTTTGTTCAAATTTCAAATCATTAAGTAAGACCCTTAATAATTAGCCCCCCCCCTAATTTTAAGCCATATCCATTACTTCATCCATTGCAAAGCCACAACCAATCTTACATAATTTTGCACCCCACAGTTTTGTGTTAATCAATTAGTGAGTTTGACAGTTTGAGGTGCTTCTCTACTAATAACCAGGAGAATAAACTAATTAACAGGTTGCCATACGCAATATGGAGCTCGTCAGGGCATGGCAAGATAATTACTTTAATTGGATGTAAGAATCCTGACAGACATCAGAGATGCCTTCAAGTGTGCCTCGTATAGGCTAATGCAAAGAAAAATGTACTAAAATCAGGAGAAAAGGCATTCTGTCAGAAAACGTGACTCTAGCAAAGGCCAAGGCTATTGTGAGGAAACATCCCGTTTTCTCACCGTCTCTGGTCAGATACAATCACATAATAGCTCCCCAGAGTGGCTTTAATTAGAGAAAAGCCAAGTGGGATATGTGGCGACAGAACTTTCTGCAGGAAGCTCATCAGAAAGATTCCTCGCACACCGTCTCTCTCCTTTTCTCCCGCTCACACCATTATCTAATCAAATACAGAGAGGCGGCCCTACTGTCATGCACCTCGGGATCCAGGCCAGGAAATTACATCCAGCAATCAATAAAATAAGCCACTATCTTCATCAGTGAAATTAGTATTGGCACTAGCCGTTTTCCATTTGACCACAATGAAGTCTGTTTTTTTTTTTTCCATTATCATTTTTTTTTTTTAAATGACTCAGAAAAAAAAATCCTCCCGCGGTTCGATAACGACACAGACTATATTTCATTCTCTTCTGCTCGCGTTTTGCTGATCTGCGTCCTCTGGAGAAATTAATTGCTGCGAGTCTGCCTGCCAAGGCTCCTTCCAGGACAAACTTCCTTGTGTTTTTTCCCTCTTTTGTCTGCTGTACCTGGCCAAGAATGGCGACCTGCCGCCGATGGGCTATATTTGGGGCAGGGGATGATTAAAAGTGCTGCTCTACCCTCGATCTAAGACAGGCCTATTCATTCTACTGCCGCCCCATTGCTGCCACACCAAGGAGCCTGAATAATTTATGCACAGTATCAAACATGAAAGAAGACCTTCACTCTCTTCCTCCGCCCTTCCTCCCTAGGTTCCTCCTCTTCCTTGTCTTTGTGCCTGATGTATCTCGCACCGACCCGATGCGGTTCAAAGCAGATTTGGAAAAGCCATCAGGCGTAATGAAGGACTCACCCCGGCTCAGTTTAAAGGTGGGTGCTGATGGCCATCGGATGGAATGAGGAAAAGATCCATACAATTAAATGGAGATTAAATGTGAAGGTATGAGAGATAGGTGAAATGAGGAGTACGCTGATGGAGACACTTCAGGGCTTTATTGTCTGAGAGGCTATTTGAAATGATTATGACGATACAGCCCATTTGCCTCCATAAGATATTCAATTCAGTAGCAGGATGATGGGAGAGAAAGAGATGGGAAAGGGCAAGAAAGGTGAACGTACAGCATGAATTCCACCTGCATACAGTTCAAAGCTAATTAAAATGAGGCACAATCATATAAAACATAATCTTTATTTATCGTCACATTGACGATAAATTGGGCTGATGGAATTTATGGCTTCACAGGAGAAACTTGTACTCAAGTACGTAAATCTGGCAAAAACTTTCAAGAAATGTTCACCCCAAAATCGATCAAAATCAATTAAAACTACATTTTGCATAAAGACAATGATTCCTATCCTAAGTAATTTTTTGATTTTTTTTTGCATTATGATATTATATTCCTGTATATTCAAATACATTTATCCCCCACATTTCAATTCCCTACTGTAAAGCAATTTATAGAAAACTAATTACTGTAAAAATACCAAATTTGTCAAGTACATTTGTCAAGATTTCAAGTCAATACGATGGTAGTAATTTTTTTAATACATTTATGTAAATTATATTAAATAATCGCTTTACATGCAATTTTATATGTATTAAGGCCATTCAGATTTTTGAGCCATGCGGATTTTAATTGCAATTTTCCCTAAAAGAAAGAATACATAATAATTCAAAAATCAAAAATAAAGTATATTAACACACACACACACACACACACATATATATATATATATAGTTTTAGTACTGTTTAACTTATACTTTGTCATTTCATATATAATTGTATATAAATATAAATATTTTTAATGGAATCATTATATAAGGCAATATATAAGGTTTTAAAATCATTTAATGTTTTATATTAAATTAATATTTAATGAAAAAATAAAATATATAAATAAATGATATACTATTTATTAATATATTATAAAAAAAAAATTATATAGCTGGACATAAACACACACAGAAACACACACCTCCCACATTCCCTCATATGACTGCTTCTTGAGACGGATGGCCCAATTCTCCAGGCACGCATCAGAGCAATGGTCCATACTGAGGATGACCGGCCGGGTGAGCATCACACCGGGCGGTCCGCAGCTCACCACGGGACTCAGCAACGTCTGACACCCAGCCAGGGGCAATCTAGAGGGAGGCAGAGGGGGAGCACATGGTCAGGATTCAACTAACAGGGTCTGGATGGATGGCCAATGTCAAGTCCAGAGCAGACCCTTTAACAAGATGAGGTTCCACTATTAATCAGGGCTCTGGTGCTCTGATCTGACTTTTCACACTCTGCATTCAAGCCCAGTAGGGAGCTGGTCGTGAACACCGCATGAATGCATGAGCAAAAAATAGCCAGACCATTACCTGGTGCTTCACTTCAACAGGAAAATCTAAAACAGGAGAACATTTCCCTCTCTGCAGCCCATGGCTCATTTACATATAACAGACAAGACAACACATACACACAAGCTTTTGATATCTCAAGCCAGCATTAGTCATAAATCTGAGCAAACGGCTTGCACACACACACACGCACACACACACACACACACACACACACACAATCATGCACGCCAGCATGTGGAGATGCCGGGCCTTTTTCAAATATGATTCAAACTGTGCATCCTTTCTTTGTGAGGCAGATCCTCAGATTGGTTCCAGGGACCTACCTCATGTCTTCCTTCTTCTGAATGGTGAGATAAATCTCATAAATCTTCCCTCTGGGAATGGCCTCTGGCGGGATGAGCAGGCTGATCCCTAATGTAAATAGGAACAAAAGAGACAAGGTAGGCTCATTTGTTCCATCTGAACGCTGCTTTTGTCACAGCTCACAGCGGGCCTCTATGTGACAAAAGTAAATGTGGTTAACACCATACAAATCCACAGTCAAGGTCAAAGATGTCATCTAACATGTGTACTTTCCAAAACTCTTTCACTTTATGCCTTGGAGATGTGAACAGTGACAGGAAGTGCCTAAAGCAGGGGTATTCGATTAAAGTTCCAAGCGATCCAGTCTCTACCTTTTCAGCAAACAGCCAAACAATCATAGTTTACATTGTTTCATAAGTCAATGTGTTGGCTATAACACTCAACAAGGTGCACTTTCAGAAAATGTATTGTAAATTTACTTTCAGAAAATGTTTTTTTTTCTTTCGCAAAATACCTTAATAAAAGTAAGAAATAATAAATCCTAAATAGTCTTATCTAAACTTCTGTATTTGACAGGAATTGGATCTCAAATAATTCATTCAATTTTAGTAAATTCAAATGTGAATTTATTAAAAAAAACATTTTATATATTATTTACAATAAATAAATAAAGAAAAGAAAAGAAAAGAAAAAGAAAAATAAGTTACTCTAGGCCATTTGTAACAGTGAAGATGACATACAAAAAAAAAAAAAATTAAATAAAACATAGTATTATAGTATATAAAATAAATATACTATAATATATAATTATATAAGGAGTCAACGCCTAACTCTACACAATAAACTTTGCTGTGTAACTTGTCTAGTCTAAAATAATCATATTTAAGATGAAAATATAAAAGCAGCATAAGCCATAAAACATCCTCAAATTAGTCACAAATTGAAACTAAACAATGTGCACTTTCAGAATTGTTTTTTTCTTTTGCAAAATACCTTGTAAAAGAAAGAAATAATAAATCCTAAATAGTGTTATCTAAATTTCTGTACTTCACTGGAATTGGATCTCAAATAATTAATTAAAATGTTATTAAATTCAGATGTGTTTTTCAAAAAATAAATAACATGTGAAAAATGTAAATGTGAAGATAACATACATGCAAAAAATAATAAATAAATAAATAATAAAATAAAATAATACACTATTATATGCTATTATAATTATTATACAAGTAGTCAACCCCTAACTCAACAACAACAATAATAATAATAATAATAATAAATACACAATAAACTTTGCTAAAATAATCGTGTTTAAGATGAATGCATAAAAGCAGCATAAGCCATAAACCATCCTCAAAATAGTCACAGATAAAAGGTATCAGGCATTATATTTTGAAGGCCAATGTTCTTAGTCGAGGGAGCCCTGGTTATTTCATTGCCACTGCCCCGTGAGCTGTCTCTTTGACCACGAGTGATTCATAATGTGACAGCCTGATGAACCCTCTGTCTGTGATTAAGGAGACTAATTGGTTTGAATATACTCTGGTGGTGTCCTTGGAGTGGATAGAGTTGCAGGCACTATGAATGCGCACGCTGCATATCGGCTTACAGTGCCACGGCTGACAACTAAGTCACTGGCTCGGCTCGGAGAAGACGCAGTGAGGTATCCTTCAAAAATGGGAAAGACAAAACAAGACGTTCCCCAATTACAGCTATTTTCGCGAAAATGGAAAACGGTCGTCATTGTCATAACACAATCATTAGTATATAAATGTAAGCGGTTCTTTGCCCGCTTTGCCTCGTTACTTGAAAAAAAACTCTTTAGAAGGTGTTCGCATTCGCTCGTGTCCCGATTTACATAAAACTGCTTGGATTACCGTGTAATTGGATCACTTCACCCTTCCATTTTGGGCCATGTCGGTATAATAACGTTGCAGTTTAACAAAGCTCCAGAGCTCTTTCACAACACTCCTGACTAAACACAAAAAACATTTTGTACTGTTTGCAGTCATATAATCTTACCAGTGTTAGGGAGGGTTAGGCGACCACCCAGGAAATTGAAAGTTCCGTAAGAGGTGTTTACGTTGTCTCTCGGTAGCGTTTTGAAATACGTCTGAGAGGACAGGCGGTTCATGAAGTCGTTGGGGTCGCTGGGTAGTTTGCCGTTGTGCAGCGTGTGGGAGCCGTTAGGAAGAGGCTCCAGGAGGGGGCCGTTGCTCACGGAGAACTTTCCGGTGACTTCGTGGCGAGAACGCAGCGTTCCCTGGTAACTTGTGGTGGTGCTGGTCAAATCGGGCTGGATGGTGAGCAAATGAGAGTTTTCTGTAGATACAGAGAGAGAGAAACAAGTGAAAAACGATTCGAAAGGTCACAGTGGTTAAAAGTGCACAACACAAATTGAAATTCAGTGCAAATGCACAAATCCATGGATGTAGCCGGGCCTTCGGCGCTGAGAGAAACTCACTCGTAAATAAATCAATGCCTCCTCCTCCTCTTTAACAGCCACAGTCAATTCCATACAGAGTTTAAAGAACGCCTAGCAGTCACGGTTGAAATGTTTTTACACTTTCTGTGTGGCTTTTTTCAGGTTCAAATCCCCAAAATCCAACTCCGTATTTTGCGATTTCAGAACCGCTCTCGTTTTTTCCCCCACGTTAAACACTTTACATATGTAAAAATAAAAGTGCACAGCAGTAGGCAGATTTGTTTCGTGGGAGGATCAATGGAAATCAGCTTAATGCTACTATTACCAAATCACTTCCCACGGTAGCAGGCGGTCGAGTGAAGGTCTCCTCTCACTTATGACTTCAAAGATGATTTCAGTAAAACCACCACAATCGTTTGCAACTGTGAAGATGACACACAAAACTATGACTATCGCCATTTAACGTAAACACCGCACACACACGGACACAATTGCGAGACTGTGAGTTGCGATTGCCACAGGTGGCACAGGAACACGGGCACTGGGATGAAAGGATGGGTGTGAAACACCGTGACGAGGGGTGGATAGCGTAGAGAAACAATAGCCTACTGCTGTGGGCTGCCCTGCGCGGTGCCCACACACCTGGCTTGGTGGGCTTGATGCCCATGGGCTGGAAGCCAGTGGTGAGGATGGAGGAGTCGGCCACATCTGCATCGAGACCTTCCTTCTTCCTGCGGTAGACCAGCACCAGCACAATCAGCAGCAGAGTCAGACAAAGAGCCACTGCTACGATCCCCACGTACAAGGCCACATCCTCAGCACCCGATGCCGCTGCTCAGAGACAGAAAAAGAGACACAAGTGTCAGTAACAGTCACATAAAATATTGGTTACCATATTGTCAATATTAGCACTTTTTTATTTGTCAGCAATGAGTCGAAATAGCTGATAGAAGCCATAACTAAAATATTTTGATGCTTCATTTTATTTGAAGCATGTCAACTTCTGGATTGTAGATCTGGTTTACAGACATAATATTTATAATATCAGCAATTATATTGGTTAAAACAGAGCTATGTTGTCTCTGTAACACTTTCAAATAATTTATTTATTATTTTTATTAAAGACATTATATTAATGTGTTATGTAATGCTGAATGCATTACTCCAGTCTTCAGCGTCACATGATCCTTCATAAATCATTCTAATGTGCTTATTTGGTGCTCAAGAAACAGGTCTTATTATTATCAATGTTGAAAACAGCTGCTTAATATTTTTGTGGAAACTTTGAAGAATCTTTGATTCTTTGAACAGAAAGTAAAAACAAAATCTACTTGAAATATAAATCTTGTAACATTACAAATGTCTTTAGTGTCACTTTTGATCAATTTAACCTGTCCTTTGTAAATAAAAGTATTAATTTACTGTATGGCCCACTGAAATGGCCAAACTGTGCAGTAAACAAAGGAGAACACAGCATAAAATACCTTCTCTTTTTGACTGAAAAAAAAAAAACCTGATGATGATAAATTGAATCAAGAACACAACAGAAAGAGGTAAATGAGGTCAACCTACAATTATTTTAAATTTGTAATGTGTATGCTTTCACATATAGAAAAATAGCATAATGCATGCAGTATTGCACTCCAAACATTTGCCTAAATAAATGATTTAAAAATGCATAGTGATAATCAATGTCAATTTTAGAATGAAATACCTGTTCTTCCCGTGTATTACTTTGTAATCTGATGTTAACCAAATTTTGCCAGATGCCAGTTTTTTTTTTTTCCAAGCATAAAATTATTAGCAAACAGAATTACCTAAACCTGACTTGGCTTGCATTGTGCGTAAGGGAATTAACTGCTGGGAAAACATTTCAGTAGATGTGCAGCTTCCCTACTGCCGCCTCCTTAAAAAGGTAATCATATCTGTGCTTCAGTGGGTTGTTCTGCAGTTGGAAAGACGGGAGTGTTTGCTGGCAGCCTGCTACATCAGCATTCTTCAAGCTGCTGAATTTATGGCCGCGATTTTGAAAGACACTTCCTTCCAAAGAGAGAGAGAGAGAGACAGGGAAAGAGAGTGTGTGTGTTTCTAACACAAAGCAGATTTCCTTATGAATCCAGATAATTTCATGTGCCCTCTCTCATTGTGGCTTGCAGCTTTATGGCTAAGTACCCAGAGACAATCACATCCAAAATTATTCTAATCAATTGTGTCGGTGGGAAATGGGATTTGTGAAGGTTGTCTCTGTGGCGTGCTGATTTGTTGGGTGGTAGAGGTGTCTGCGCTCCCCGCTGGGACAGACCCAGTGGCTCTGTATTGTGACGAGAGACTGCAGAGGTGTATTCAGGCCTATTTAGATGCACTGTGGACTGACAGCTAAAAGCTACGAGGAATCGCTCAGCCGAAGCTCCTGAATTCTGGGGTAGAGTAACAGCTGTGCATATGGGCCATAACACTGAGCATTACGCCCTGCATCATAGTACAACCTCCAAGTGGGGTCAACGGAAGGGCAAATCAAGAATAAATGTGCATGACTTTAATAGTCTAAAAACTTCAGGGAGAAATTGCTGAGAAATTACATCTGATAAAACCAGTGCTTTAGAGTAAATAATGCCTCTAAAACCGTATACAAATATTATGGTAACACTTTAGTATAGGGACTAATTCTCACTATTAACTAGTTGCTTATTAGCATGCCTATCATTAATATATTGGCTGTTATAATCTATCTATCTATCTATCTATCTATCTAAGAATGAAAACATTCCTTGTTTGGTTACTAGTGATTTGTTTACCTGTTTAGAATAATTTTAATTAACAACACAATAAATTAATACAATAACAATACAAAAAAATTATTATATAATTTTAATGAGCAAGTGTTTTTGTTTAGATTTACAGAAAGCAAAATCTACAAGGGACAGAAGTTCTATTTTACGACATTCTTGTGTATATTGGGTTTAATTTACTATTTCCCTTTGAAACACCCTTTTCTAGCCCTTAATTAGCCTTTTATTTACTTTTCACTAGTGTGAACAAAACTGCACAGGAAGTTAGAATCTCGATCACACTTACGTACATCCTCACACTCTCTGCTTGGCTTGTTTGGACTAAACGGGAGTGAGATTATCAAAGGAAATTATTCAGTTAGAATTATCCCAAAGCCCAAAATCACACAGACAATTAAAACAGGGCTGTCAATTACCATTATGCCAGTCTGCGTCACTCTAATTAAGCTGTCTTCTAATTGTTCATCACACTCTTAACCACCAGAGTCGCAATAAACACCCTCATTGCCATCAGCGGAGTTGTTACTTAATGCAATCTACACTTCTCAGGACTACAGGTGCCTGGTCCAGTTAATTTCATCCAAATATAGCTCCATTATTCTGACGTGACTACAAAGTATCACTAATGCCGCGCGGGGGTCATCGGCAACATGTCTTGACATATTTTGTTGAACGCGTCTGACTGATGACTCTGTCAATACGACATGATACGGTGCAAGCAGGAGGGTGGCCGAGCTCCAGGAAGTGGCATTACATCAGGGCTTGTTTCGTGACAGCTGGTCAATGGTGAATGACTGAGTGCATGCAAACAGGAATTGCTCTTGCGTCTCTGTATCGACGATGCATTAAGTATGTCTGCGGGAAGTGACTTTGTCATGGTTTAAGAGGACTTATGATATCATAAACTGACAGTCGACGCACCGAGACGCGATGGGGGCTGTAACGTGTGCACTCCAGGTGCTGAAAAAAGCATGAAAAAAAAAGAAGATTAACAGGCTGAAGACTCTGTAAACCTGTAAAACCCTCCAGAGCGGAAGCAAACTTACTCAATTACTCACTGAATCATGAAATGCAGTTTCTGGGAGAAAGTGGGAAAAAGTAAATAAATAAATAAACAAATAACATGGTAAAATCTCAAATCTATGAAAACACTTAAATACAACTTTAAATTGTATTTTTTATATTGATATATTATATAAATATTATATATTTTGTGAATTTATATGACAAATTAACAAGTTGTCACTAATATAACCAAAGCAAATAATAATAGAAATGAATATTAATACTAATATTACTATTTATTATATATATATACGATTTAAAATTGTATTCATTAAATACATTTTGTCAATTTATATAACCAAATTACTAATAATTACTAATATATAAATAAACAAACAAACAAACAAACAAATTAAGAAAACATGAAATAAAAATATAAAATACATAGTTTTTGTATAAAATTATATTATAAATGCAGATGCATGATCCAACATATTAAGCTGTAGTGCTTAGTGAAACCCATGCTAAAATATAAATCAAATAAAAATGATAAATTAATACAATTAATACAAGTATAAATGAATGTGTTTTATCAATTAATTAGTATAAAAGATCATGATCCGCACTCACGAGATCAGTCTTCTTTTTTAGTTTTATTTTACATACATCGTTGATGGGAGATTTACCAATTAATACAACCACAGCTACAAATAGTTACATTATATGTTTTGTGTGTGTGTGTGTGTATTTAGTTAACTACACTTACTGAAAAAACAATATTTTTTTAATGTTCAATTGTGTGAGATAGAAGACCTTATATTACTTTATACTTATACTTACTTTAATTATATTATATTACTCTTCACGACATAAAGAAGTGCTATAAAACCGATATATTTAAATAAATAAGCTGAAATAGTATATTATATTGAATTCCACATTTTAATGTTCCAACCACTGGCCACGACTCCTACAAAATGCTGGATGTGATTCGTCCCTTAAGCTTCTCTCCCCATTTATCCACCTGAACCGATCTCCCTGCTTTATTTCACCAGGGAACCTCTTTGCACTTATCAGAGCCTCCTTGCTCAACTTTTTATCAGGCCTAACAGATGTATTGAAGTTGCCTATAGACCGGGCTGGCATTCCCTCTGCCCTGCTCAATAAATGAACAGACATCCATCACGGTTTAATTGACACAGTTAATCAGCTTTATAATTGAATGGATTCCGCGCGGCAGTATTCTGCCTCCACAGCACCTCGTCTCTGCCTCGCTTTCAAGCGCCTTGACGTGGAGGCGGTGGGGAGAAAGGCAAGCGAACTGCTTTCAGTATCAGATTCCCCCACCCTTGCTCCCTTTTTGCTGTAATCAACACAAAACAGAGCGAGCGATGTTCCTGCTGTTCCAGAGGCTGATGTAAGGTGTGTCGAAACACGGGTTTCTGGAGGTGTAACAGAGTGGGCTCCGAACATCTTGTGCTGTCTAACAGCGGGGCGTCAGGCCTGGCCTGAGGGGACCAAACTCCGCCTGTGGGTAAATCTCAGAGAGTGCCTCCCCTCCTCTCACGGTGGGATACAGCCAACCTGCAATTCTCCTATCATGGCTGACAGAAACAGGTTCAGACTTGTAACAGTGACATTTTAAGACGGTAGTGATTCTGTCAGGTAGATCCAGTGTTGAAGTTTATGCTAGGTCTCTGTCTGTGTTGTGCTAGTATTGATAAATCGCTAGTATTTGGTGGTAAAGGGAAGCGTATATCAAAGAAAGGTGGAAATTGGTTTGTGGTTATTTATGAAGATAAAAATGTGGAGGTCATAAGGTCATCAAAAAGTGAATCTGTTGAATCTTATCACAGCGGTAAAAATACAAAATGGAAAAAGTAGGTATTAAAGAATTAGTCCCTTATTATAAAAGACAAAAAGCTGATTTGAACTCAAATGTTACAATGTTATTTCCATTATTTCTAAATGGCTAAAAACAAGGTGCTTTTAAATGTCTTAATTTACTCTATTCCACATATTAGCCTCTCAGCAGCC